CACTATCTAAAGATTTGCATCGAAGCGTTTATTTTTGATAGTGATTTTAATCACTGTCAGATATCATTATACTTGATCCAACTATACCACGTCACAACTGTGCCGCGACCCCCCTGTGCTGGGTTTTTTTTTTTTTTGATAACTTAAAATTTAAAAAATTATTCTTAAATTTTATTTAGTAAAACACAATACTTACATTTGGAGGTAAATGGACATAACGTATTAGTCTTGATTTTAAGTAAAAGTTATCACAATAATACCTCTTATTGTTAGGATCAGTTAAGGTAACATCAGACATGGTTATATTCATATTACTGAAAATTAAACAGGTATTTCAATTTTTAAACATAATTATAAGACTATAAATATTTTTAAACATACTAATCAACATTTTTAACAAAACCGTGAACACATGTTTCATTTTGTAAATCAATAGTTGTATACTGATTTTCAACTGCTCTAACTAAGCAAACTAAGCTTTCTACAGACTTCATTTTGTTTCTACGAGACATCATGTTGTTTTTTAAGAAATTGAAAAAGATAATTATGATTTCGAATTATTAAAAAATTTAATTATATAAATAAAATTTTTATTTAAAATTTCATATTTATTATTAAATATTTATCACTTTAAATTAATTTTTTAACAGTTACTGAAAAAAATGATAAGAACTTGTACTGTATCATAGAGTAATTACTCTATGTACCGTATTTACAATAATATAATATTACCAACATTAAACCTCAGTTCTGTTATCTCTGTTAACTTCTGGTTTTGTCTATGTATGAATAAATTTATAATTATATTAAATATATCAATTTTTATTTACTAATTAAAATACGCCAGACAATATTGAATTCCCGTGTTCTTATCACAGGAACGACTTGTTGTTCCTAGTAACCGAGTGTACGTAATGTGCGTTTCTTGGCTGTAATGTCATGTTCAAGCTTACTACTGATAGAAATTTTATTGTTATAGAGACAATTCTAAGAAAAACATGTGTTCATAGTTTAATTAATTCTTTTTAACCTTTTTTCTTTTTCTTATAAACATTTTCAATTGACAATGGACTCATCAATATCTATAAAAGTTCACACAGCTATTCGGATATCACCTTATGAATTACCTGTGACTATTAATACTACTGTTGAAGATGTAACTATTGAAATTTCTAAATTATTAAATATTGGACCTGTTGCACGACACTTGTTTGCTTTAAGAATTCTTAACACTTCAAATGAAAACCTATGGCTTAGTCCATCACTTTTTATATTATATGCTAAATGTGAACATCATGTATATGAGTATAAATTACGATATAAAATGCTTGATATTAAACGTCTTAAATCAATTGATCGAAATGCTCATAATTTTTATTTTTATCAAGTGAAGTCAGATTTACTTAAAAGCAAAGTAACAGGGTTATGTTATAGTACATACAAGCGAGAATTGATTGGACTTGGTGTTGCTGATATGTATAGAGCAATATTGGAAGAAGACAAAACTAGAGAAAATGTAGAGCAGAATTACAAACAGTTTATGCCAAAGGAAGTAGTTAAACAACATATGTTTTTCTTAAAAAAACCTGTCCAAGAAACATTAAAAAAAATTATTAATAATAATAGTGTAGATGCTCATTATGTGGACATTATAAAAGATAGCTATTTAGAACAGTTTAACTCTATTGCTCCAGATTATTTAGAAGAAGAGTATATTGCATTATATAATGAAAATGGTAGTTCAGTTAATGTAACACTTAGAATAAATCCATTTTTTTCTAAAATGCCTGGGATAAGGATGTGTACTGAAAACAGGAAAGAGGTTTGTATGATTAACTTTTATGAACATAGAACCATCCAATTTTATTTATAATTAATTTAATAAAAATGTAATATAGAATATTTTAAAATAAATGTCAGTATAATATTTTTTATCGATATTACATTAACTTTTTAGTGGGTACACTTAGCATCAATTGTGGATTTGTGCTTTTTGTCAACTACTGATAATGGTACTGTGGAAATTTCTCGTAAAACTGGTATTCCAATACATTTAAAGTTTCCTGATACTAATACAATGTTTTCTTTTATAACATTACTGAATGGTTATTATCGTTTAATGGTAAACTGGAATTTTGATTTGTGTGCTTCTACAAATACTCCAACTTTAAGTAAACTTAAATCAATTCGTTGTCATGGACCAATCAGGTAAGTTAAAAAGCAATCACTTTACATTTAACCATAATTTAATGAAATTATTTATTTAAAGTATTTTGAAATCGGCTTCTATTTTAAAAAAGAAAACTACTAAAAAACATGGAAGTTTTATTCTGAGACAAAGTATGAAAAGTTATAATAATTATGTGATTGATGTTAGTGTGGACCATAGGTAAATATCTATATTTGTTTTTGTTTCATGCAGGGCTGGGAACTAAAATAATTAAGATTTTTGGCAATTTTTCTATATATTATAAATTAATTTATCTATATCAGTAATTTTTTTAATATATGTTGAAAGAATGATTGCAAAAACCTAAAATATTATAAGACTGTCTTTAAAATCCTAATTAAACTTAATAAGATCAATTTTAGATTTGTTTTAAGGTTTTAAGGCAATTTTTTTATTTATTTATATATATTTTAACGGGTAGGTACCCTTTAGTAATATTTATAATACAATAAGTATAAAGTTTACATGACAATTATGAGTCAACAACAAATAGGTAATAATGATAATAATAATAATATAGAATAAATTATGAATACAATAAAATGTGTTATCAATAATTAATAATTAAATAGTGTAAGACATAAATCAATTAAAAACAAATAATTAGTTTAATATTATATAATATTATGAATTTTGCAAACGAAATACAACAATTTTCAAAAATTTAATCTAATAATACATTTATCTTATAATAAGAACACAATATTTAATTTAGTACTAGATTTAAACCTATATATACATTTTGTTTGAAAAAATCTCGTGACATAAAAAAGCAATCTATGTGATCAGCTATAACGTTACATAATGAGAGGGCTCTAGGAAAAAAAGATGCGGAACTGTAGTTATTTTTATAAAATGGTATATGAAACAAATTCGATTTT